TTATTTTAAAATTACTGAATGTTAGGAGTATGTAAATATTTGAATCTCCATAGCTTGGCTACAGTTCTGTTTTAGGGGGTCATGTAACTCCACTCTGACTGACCTATATTTTTAGTAATGGTGTATTATCATACCATTGTACTGTATATCTGACCTTTCTTGTCTTTAGAAAGGCAATAAATATTATATGATTACAGTATGATACTGGAAGAAACCAGTGAATCGGCCTTGCCTCTGAATTTGTTGCTTAGGGTAGGGTAAACCGGTTACAGCACTTCAGTTTTAACAGCTATAAATACATAAAATATAGTAGGATGTTTAAAACTTGTCAGAGTTATAAAAACAGGTTATTTGACAGAATCTAATTTATTTTCGCATAGCTTAAAAGAAAACCTAGCAAAATCATAGTTCAATGATCAATAAACCTAGAATACACTTCGGTCTAACAAAATATTGTGTGTGTGAGTGTATAACACGAGGACATCCTCTTGTTACATTAAAAAGAAAAAAAAAAAAAAAGGTTGGGAGTTGTTTTTAATTTTTTAGTTTTTTTCTATACATTTTTTTTTCTAGTACATTGGATGCCTAAAATATGTGTATAGCCAAAACATTATTTTCTTTTTAGCTGGGATAAGATATGGTTAGAACACCTATTGGGTTTTTTTCTGCTGTCTGGGAATGTTTTACTTCATCTATTTCCTGGAGACAAAACAGGAGATGGGATGAAATTTTCCCAAAGTGTATGGATTTCTCCTTTTAGACAGTTGTCACAGGAACAGGTTATCCCATGGACGATTTACTCTAACCTCTTACTTCAGTGACAGATCTAATTCATTAGATTTTCCTTACTTTCTGTCTCAGTGACAGTGGTCACCCAGACAAATACAGGGGTGAATCTCCCCAGCAATAAACATTTTGTGAGGGTCTAAATCTTCCCAAATCTATCTAATACTATGCCTTTACATATACTATAAAGCAATTTGTTCTGAAAATGTAAAATGCCCATAAAAGCTGTAAATGTAAAGATGCAAATAGATACTTACCTCTTCTGCCTCCAATGCCAATCCAAACCAGAGGAATACAATCCTTTTGCAAAAACTTCCAGAAATGTCAATCTCCTGGTCAGGGGCGGACTGACATCTCATGGAGCCCCCGGGCAATAGGGGATCATAAGGCCCCTGTGTCTTTGCCCAAACTCAAAAAAGCCTATGAAAAAGGTACCATGGGCATCTCATGGGGCCCCCTACTGACCCCGGGCCCTCGGCAGTGCCCGAGTTTCCAAATGGTCAGTCCACCCCTGCTCCTGGTACCTCTCAGCACTCAGCAGTTCCTTCCCCTGAACTTCACATCATTACTGTGGAGGTCGACAAGAAATGCAATTTCCTGCAGAAGACTTCAGTTAAGTGGCACAGGCGGCAGAAAAGGTAAGTATCATGCATCCCTTTACATGTGTGTAAGTGGGTTAGTTAGGGTGCTGCCATGGACGGGAGGGTGGTAATTAAGTCTGTCCCCAGGTTTTTCATTTTGGCGATCTGGAGAGAGAGTTCCCCCGTGGGAGTCGGAGAGCCTTGCTGCTGATCAATCCGTCGTACAGCTCGAAAGATGTGAGAGCCATTCAACTTGGGGTTTGACCCAAAGACACCAGCTGCTGGGGAATGCCTAATAGACCTTTATTCACATGGACTCTACTTTTGCAGGTATGCTGGGGCAGCACATAACCTGAGTAGGAATAGGTATTAGGGACTTAGGAAAAAGACTGTTCTTTTGCTGGACTTTGTACCGTTTTGCACTTTGTTCAGTAAAGCAATAAATAAATTGCCTTCTGCCTAGTCTGAAGTTCTTTAAAGGAGTGTAATGCAAGTTACCGGCACGGTCTAAGAAAGGGTTGTCACGTCATCGGGGGCGGACTGACCATTTGGGCCCGAGAGCCCGGGGTCAGTAGGGGGCCCCATGAGATGCCCCTTGTACCTTTCATAGGCTTTTTTGGGTGTGGTTTGAGTGTGGGCAAGGACACAGGGTCCCCATGATTTCCTATTGCCCGGGGGCCACATGAGTTGTCAGTCCACCTCTGCACCTCATCCTTTTAAAACGGAACACATTAATTACACAGGTTCTGTGGCTGATTAAGGTGGTAATTAAACTCTCTGAGTGCCTTATGTGCAATAAATTAGCCTTAACCCCTTCATACCGGCCGCACGCAAATGTGCGGCCTCCCGGCGTCTGGGCCTAGACACCAAGCGGCCGCACATTTGCATTCATATAACAAAAAAACATTTGTGCTGAGAGCGCCTGCCCTGTGCGCTCCCAGCACACATGTGAGGTACTCATGGAAAGGTCCCAGTCCGCTCTTTCGATCGGGACCTTTCCCGATCATGTGATCAGCCGTGACGTCACGGCGGCCACATGACACTAAGCCACGCCCCGTCCCGCCCACCTCCCGACGCAGGAACTCCTCTTCACACCGGGATGATCCGGCGTGAAGGGGTTAATATGTGTTCGGTTTTAAAGGGATGAGGTGACAACCCTACTGTAAACATCAGAGACTGCACCTGTGCTACTGTGGTAAGTTAGAAGCTGGGGTAGGGGGCTTTATTGTAGGTTATTTCAGGAGGGCTAAGGAGGGTTACAGTAGTTTTTATTAAAGGTGGTAAATAAACTCGCTGAGTGCCTTATGTGCAAAAATTAGCCTTAACCCCTTCATACCGGCCGCACGCAAATGTGCGGCCTGCCGGCGTCTGGGCCTAGACGCCGAGCGGCCGCACATTTGCGTTCATATAACAAAAAACATATGTGCTGAGAGTGCGCGCCCTGTGCGCTCCCAGCACACATGTGAGGTACTCACGGAAAGGTCCCGGTCCGCTCTTTCGATTGGGACCTTTCCTGATCATGTGATCGGCTGCGACATCACAGCGGTCACATGACACTAAGCCACGCCACGTCCCGCCCACCTCCCGGTGCAGGAACTCCTCTTCACACCGGGACGATCCGGCGTGAAGGGGTTAATATGTGTTCGGTTTTAAAGTGATGAAGTGACAACCCTACTGTAAACATCAGAGACTGCACCTGTGCTACTGTGGTAAGTTAGAAGCTGGGGTAGGGGGCTTTATTGTAGGTTATTTCAGGAGGGCTAAGGAGGGTGGGTTACAGTAGTTTTTATTAAAGGTACAGTTGATCTTTAAACTGAACCAGGGGCGGACTGACAACTCATGGGGCCCCTGGGCAATAGGGGATCATGGGGCCCCTGTGTCCTTGCCCAAAAGCCTATGAAAAAGGTACCAGGGGCATCTCATGGGGCCCCCTACTTACCCCGGGCCCTCGGGCAGTGCCTGAATCATGAGGCCCCCTACTGACCCCGGGCCCTCGGGCAGTGCCTGAGTTTCCAAATGGTCAGTCCACCCCTGAACTGAACACTTTCACATACTACATATACTATCTATAATTTCAGTGAAAGTAAAGAGTAAATGAGCTAGAAGCAGGTCACGCCTAGGAAGGGGTTTAGGTAGGTGAGAAGGAATTGCATACAAAAATAGAAAGCCATGGCTACATACATTGGTTTATGAGATGATGGTGCGCAAATGACGTAATTGTCACGACAAAATGACGAAAGAGCATAACTGTTAGGGAGGATGTTATGTTGCATTCCTAATAAGAAAAAGAGAATGATGGCAAGAGACGGGCCAAGAGAAATGTTATCATGTAAATGCAACAACGTGATGAAATTCAGAGAATAGGAGGAAAGCATGGATGGATCTGATGGAAGAGACAAGAGAATAGGAGGGGGGTGGGGTGAGCAAACCAATGACTGGAAAGGGGGTTGTCTGCAGCCTGTATGATACACACAGTCACTGTTTTAATCAATGGCTTTCCCTGCAGTATTAGGCAGTAAGGGATCCTCTAACAATTGCTGCAATGTCAGTAAACCAGTCTGGGCAGACTAGGAGGCTTCTATTGGATAGAAGAGCAGCAAGCTTTGTACAGGATCCCTAACTACAAAGGCACCTCCAACCTTTCGCTCAGGATGGGCTGGGCAGTGGCAAAAGGGTTAACTAAACATCCTTTTATTATTTTACCAACAGCACCGCACATTATTTCCTATAGAGGAAGCCAATGCACACGCGTTAATAAATACCCATTGATACGTTAAAACATTTCAGCACCCTCCTATAAATACTGCTGCGGTCAGCATCATTTTATTCCTGCTGCCTGGTGGGACCGGAGGCGGTGCATGTGCTGCACATCCCAGCCAGTCATGCTTACACTAAATGCAGCAATTTAATTTCTGAAATAATGTTTAATAATTCAGTATCTGATAAATATGTAACATGTTAAATGTCCCACAAGCCCTGGGTATTAATGCTTGTACATCTCAATAAAAGACACTGGACTTAATGACAGATTACACTGCTATGAATATTGTTTGCAGGATTGGAGGAAGAGAACGACAGAACATTGTATGGCATGTGATGCAGTCACAGCATAACCTCAGGGATGGGGAGAAATACCAAGAAGAACGACGGGAGGGCCTAGTATATACAATACAGGCAGCATATGAAGGCTTTTTTTTTAAGAAAAGCATAGGGTACTAAAGTAGCAACCACTGGATCAATTTTTTGGAACCACATAGGATTGCGGACACAATGATCGGATTAGTTGCTCTGTGTTGTTTTTATTTAACTACATGTAAATCCCCAAATGGATGACTGTGTAGCCTTTATTGCATATCACTTCCTTTCTATATACACGCTAGCAGTGGCTACGTGGCCTGTCTCAGGGCAGGTTTTACGATGGTGACAACAATGGACCATGCGGAACTGGTTACTTGTAGATTCCATCGAAATCCCATATAACAGGGTAACAACGTAGGAGGAGAAGTGCAAAGCAGGACCAGAATGTTGCGACCCTATAAGGCTTCATGTACACGGGACGTTTGGAAAACACTTCTGAACGATGGAAACTGACTGCTGGAAAACGTAGGTTAAAAAACGTCTGTTTAGCCGCGTTTGCATACCGCATTTATGCGCGTTTGCGTTTAGAAGCGTTTTTTTAAAGATAACCTCAGGAGACCTTCCAAAATGCCCAGAATGCACTGAAAAAACCGTAAATAATTAACTATTTCAAACATTTTGAGAGGAATACAGAGAGCAGAAGCAGTGGACTCCAACCTATCCTTCCAGCCCCAAGTCCAATCTTTAACAAACTCGTGCAGACTCCACCTCCGCAACATCGCCAAAATCCGCACGTTCCTAACCCCAGAAAGCACTAAACAGCTCATCCACTCCCTCATCATATCACGACTCGACTACTGCAACTCCCTCCTCACTGGCCTGCCTCGCCACTGGCTATCCCCGCTTCAGTCGATCCTGAATACGGCTGCCAGACTCATTCACCTTTCCAACCACTCCTCCGTTTCCGCCACCCCCCTCTGCCAATCCCTCCACTGGCTTTCGATTGCGCAACGGATCAAATTCAAATTACTAACATTGACGTACAAAGCTGTTCATAACACTGCCCCAAACTACATCACCAACCTGATATCCATATACCACCCAAAACGCACTCTCCACTCCTCACAAGACCTTCTACACTGATGTACAAAGCCGTCCACCACACTGCCCCGAACTTCATCACCGACCTAATATCCAAGTACCACCCAGCACGCACACTCCGCTCCTCACAAGACCTCCTTCTCTCTAGTTCCCTGGTCTCCTCCTCCCATGCCCGCCTCCAGGACTTCTCCAGGGTGTCACCCATCCTCTGGAACTCCCTGCCCCAACCCATCAGATTATCACCTACTCTCCTCTCCTTTAGGCGCACCCTGAAAACCCATCTCTTCAGGGAAGCCTACCCCACCCCCTGCTAACTTGCCGTCCTCCTCCACTCTTCCTCCCACTCCATCCCCCACAGCTATCTCCTCCTGTACCACCATCCCCTCCCTCCTAGATTGTAAGCTCCAAAGAGCAGGGCCCTCGATCCCCTCATGTTTTGCATTGTATTGGTATTGTTCTGTCACATGTTCTGTCCCCCTTTGTAATGTACAGCGCTGAGCGAACTATTGGCGCTTTATAAATACTGTATAATAATAATAATAATAATGTGTTGGGATAACCTGTCTTTTCTGGTTGTATTCACTATGGATCCCATCATGAGCATAATGCGGCATGTTCTACCATTTTTTCCTTCACGTGAAACCTGGAACTGACTGCACTGGTGTGTACCGGATCCATTTGAATACATGGAAAACGCTTTGCATTAATTTATGATGATGAAAAAAAGCTCTGGACAGCATTTGGATATGGAACAGTTAAAAAAACGCTTCTAAACGCAAACGGCAGTGGTTAGCCGCGTTTACACACATTTACAAGCGTTTGAAATGCTGATAAAATCTACTCCTGAATGCAAGTTTGGTGCGTTCAAAAAAATGACTGTAAACTCAACTGCCTGTAAATGACTGTAAACGACATACTGTACATGGACACATAGGAACACATTTGGGAGAGTTCAGGGGCTGCTGAAAAAAATGCAGAAAAGCTCCTTAACGTGAGTTTATCAGCTGCAGTGTACATGAACCGTAACAGTAAGTGTTTGCACCAGGTATTATTTTAATGATAGGAGCAGTTTTAGCATACGCAAGATCAAGCGCAAATGTCATTGGTGGGATGGAATAAAAAAAAGAAATCTGACCGCCAATTATGCTTTAAAAAAACAAAAAAAACAAAACAGCACATGCAGGGGGAGAACAGACCATGGCATTGTAGAAGACATCAAAGAAAGAGGTAAACAAGTAATACTAATTGTATTGTTCTGTAAATGATGATTGCATTGCTGTTGTCAGTTTTATTAACCACTTGTCCCCCAGAGGATTTACCCCCCTTCCTGAGCAGGCCATTTTTTGGGATACGGCGCTGCGTTACTTTAACTGACAAATGCACGGTCATGCAACGCTGCACCCAAATTAAATTTACATCCTTTTTTCCCACAAATATAACTTTCTTTTGGTGGTATTTGATCGCCTGTGTGGTTTTTATTTTTTGAGCTATAAACAAAAAAAAAAGACAATTTTGAAAAAAAACAATATGTCTGACTTTTTGCTATTAAACGTGTCCAGTAAAAAAATCTAATTTCATCATAAATTTAGGCAAAAATGTATTCTCCAACGTATCTTTGCTAGGAAAAAAAAAAATCTCAATTTGTGTAAATTAATTGGTTTACGTGAAAGTTATAGCATTTACAAATGGCGGTATATATACTGGAATTTTTTTGAATTGTTTTTACTAGTAATGGCGGCAATCAGTGACTTATAGCGGGACTGCGTAGGTCTTTCTGACACTGGGGGGAACTGACTTGCTGTCATTGACATCCCCAGTGACACCAATAGAGGGATCAGTGCTAATAAAATGCACTGACTCTGTACTAATGGCACTGAGCAGGAAGGGGTTTACATGTGGGGTGATCAAAGGGTTAACTGTGTGCTGTGTGCTGTTTTACTATGTGGGCTGTGTGTGTGTTTTCACTGTAAGCACACTGCTTTCTATGGCTCTGCTATGCAGAGCCATACAAAGCTGTGTGCAGGAGCTGACAGGGGAGAGATCTGTATTGTTTACATACAGGTCTCTCCCCCGTCGGTAATGCTCGGAGATCGCTGGGTGCCGGCGGGCAATCTCTGGCCAGGACCCTGTGATAGACAGCCAAGGCCGCGAATGACGGTGTGTGGGTAGGACGCGTATGCCCTCTACCCGGAACTGCAAAATCATGTATATATACACGTGATTTTGCGCACCTGTGCCGCCCTGTAGCAGTATTTCTGCTATAGGGCGGCGCAGAAGCGGTTAAAGTGGTTGTATACCCTTACATATATCTATGAAGTAACTGGCCTAAGGTGATTACGATTCAGATTATGTGTTGATTTCTGTGTTTTAACATGAGCTGCATTAATGAGGCCTATTCCTTCAGTTGGGGCTGGAAGCGCACTGTAAAGAGACCTTGTCACCAAGTTCAAAAATTACAGGTAAAATTTAAAGCTTACTTGTTTTTCATTTCTAAAATTATGTTTCATTGACTTGCAAATTGCCACTGAACTTGCAGCAAATTTGACTACTGCCCCGGCAAAGCCCCCTCTCCTTGCAAGTCATAGCCCTCTCCTCCTCTAGAAGTTTGAGGGTATTGTCCGTGCTGGCCCAGTTCTTCTGCCCCTCCCTTCACCTCCCTACATATCATTTTACTTAGTGACTGGGAGAGAAGTGAAATGGAACATAGGGTGTTTTTTTTTCGTGACAGCTCTGAGTCTGCTGGGACTGCTGATATCACCTCCAAGATGGCATTGCAGTGTGATACAGTAAATGGGTAAGATGCTCATTTATGGTGCTTTACCATTGTAGTGCCTGATGAGTCCTGATTGATAGAGAGGAGGGCTGAGTAGCAGCCTGGATGTAATATCGAGAACGTCAAACTGTGGTCAGGAGCTGAGAGGCTCTGCAGCCCCTCTGGAATTTCCCCCTGCTCTAGATCTTTGGAGGAAGGCCTAGAGGCAGTGGGTGGATCTGAGGAGTGGCTGGTTTGCACTCTTGAGGGATCTTAGCCAATCCCCAACAGAAGGCTTGGCAAGGGGTTTTGACACCCTTAAAAGTGTTGGAGCCTGCTCAGAAGTAGGAGAATTCAGGTGGAAGACAGTGAGGAAGATGCGAGGCTGAAGGAAGGAGGCTGCGAGGAGACCCAATGGGATGGGGCTTACCTGCAGGCCTGGAGCTGGGAAGGAAGAAAGCTCAGAGTTTCATTGCCCCCAGAGCAAGGACCACATGTATGGCAGGGAAGGAGTGGCCCAGCTGATAGGCCTGGTAGCAGCCACCAACCCACCATTGGTACAGGAGAGAATATGAGTGAGTATCCCTGCATCCCCTGGGTGGATAGGGGAAGGAGCACTCTGGTGTGAAACCTATTTGGGACTGTCCACTTTTAAAGCAGCAGCCACCAGATCCCCTGTTCAGGGATATCTCCAGACTGCTGGGTGAAGCAGAGGAGTTCATCTAGGATCAGGGGTGATACATTAAGAAGACACTGGCTAGCTCTCCAACAGAGACTATGCTGCAGTGAAGGCTTGTAAATAGTTCCAGAAAGTTGTCCTCAGTTTATGAGTTTCCTTGGGCATCCTGTACACCCCTAACCCTGTCTCAGTTCGAATCCCCTAAATAAACCAATAAAACCAAAACTCAAGGACTGATCTCTGACTCTGGATGCAAGCCTGTGTGAAGATGAGTGTTGCCTAGCTGTGCAGGACTAAAGGGGGACCCAAATCTCCAAGTGACTCGTAAGGGGGTAGTGCTATACCATAATGCACCTACTGTTACCTGACCAGTCCTCTCTAGTGAGGATTGAACAATAGGATTTGTATTAGTTTTATAAAGGATTATGGTTTGCAGTCTATCAAAGCCTACAGCCTGGATTTGTGTGTATAAGTTCTTTTAATACTGCCAATTTCCTCTTGCTGGTAGATACACCTTTTTAAAACACAGCTGGCTCTTTTTTTCTGTGGACTGTTAAACACACATGACAAATGTACTTGTGTAGGCTGAATCTATGTGTCCCTTCAGAACACTCATCTCTGTCCATGGGTTGTCATTCATCTACACCAGCCAATCTCAAACTGCATTTCTCCAGAGGTTGCCAGGGGTTCCTTGAGCTGTGGCTGATTAACCCTCTATCTGATGGTGCCTAGGTAGTACCAGGCCCAATGCCACTTGGCAAAGTCAGCAGGCTAACACCAATGATATTCTTAGCTGTCTGTGAAGGGTGCATAAAGGGGGGTATTCTTCACAATGGCCACCAATGTACGTTGTAGTAACGGACCACCTCTGTAATAAGCATTTTTCCCACTGACCACCAATGGTAGGCCGGCCATAGATTGAGCGATTTTCTTTCTTGCAACCACAGGTGATTGACAGGGGAATTTCTCCCACTGAGACATTGTGTTCTCCCGGCAGGGGGCTAGAGGCTATAACAGCCACTAACAATAGTTGCATGTAAAATCCAGCAGGCTGGTTGTACCCAAGTTGATTGATGAATCAACCTGGGTACATTCAGCCTGCCCATACATGGTTCGAATATCAGGCGCTTCCTGCTGAATCGGCCTAGTTTCGTACTGTCTATGTCAGGCTTAAAAGGCATTCTTTGTACTAACCACCAATGTAAGGGGGTAATTCTTCCCACTGACCACCAATGTAAGGGGTATTCTTCCCATTGAACCTGAATTAATTAACTTTAGCACTATAAATCCTTCCAGGATTGATGGGATGGGATGATACTCTTATACAGGCTGTTCCAGAAGGTAGGTGTGGATCTATGGGGGTTCTCCTGTTCTCTCCTTTATCCCCTTGTGCAGCTGCTCATGAATAGATAACCTGACCAGCTCTCTAAGGATCTCCTAATTCCCCTCCTGGGGTTATCACCTTCTCCAATCCTCCTTATACCAGCTTGAGGAGTGTTGGTCAATTGAAAAAGAGAAGAAAACAGACCATGGTGCCTTATCTTTGTGCACTTTACTTTGAAAGACTTGAATGTATTTATTGGTCACAGAGATTTATGAATTGTTATAGATAAAATTTCATGCACCTCTAGGAGTAAGAGATATATATATGAGTTAATAGGAGCGCGGCACTATTTATTTATAACATTCCTCCTGGAGTTAAAATGTTGAGAAAGGCTGATATACTAATTTAAAAAATCCTTTAAAAAAAAATATTAACGACCATAAAACTTTTTGTGTTATATTTACAGCTCAGCCAATCCTATGGCTATCACAAGTTAATCTGATGCATTATTGAAGAGTTCTGTGAACGTTATCTCCCAAACATTAGGAGGTTTATCACTGTGTTAGAGAACACTTTATAGTGTGAAGCCAACTTGCCTGAGTATTGTTTCTGTTATACAAGGCAAAGGGGCAATGCCATTACAAATATGTTGCATATATATTATTAATTATGCAATTTATATGCTAGTCACGAGCCAGTCTCCTGCTAACTATACTCATACTAATCATTTTCTGTTCCTCTCTTGCCCCTTTATTCCCTTTTTTTGTTTTCTCCTTTTCTCCATGTGCTTAGTCCTACCCCTTCCCTTAATTTTCCCCTTCCCATCCTCAACCAATACTTCTAGTTAGGAACTTGACCCCATAGTTAAATTTCAGGTCTGAATGTTTGTACAAGATTTCAGCCCAGGAGCAAGGCATGGACCCTTAAAGACAAAGTTCACCTTTTCCAGAAAATAACCTTTGCAGTCAAGGGGTCTCAGTAGGCATTAAAAAAAATGTGAAGCTTTGCAAATTTTTTAACTTTATTGTCATACCTGAAGGTCATTTCAGCACCCCCCCCCCAGAAGCCTGGACAAAAAACTCCCAGTAAGCCATCCCCACGTCCTGCCTTACTAGGATTTGTAAAACCATATGTCTTCACTCTGGTAATGCTGGGAGTGAACGCCCAATGGTTTTCATGTCCTAGCAAAGCTACACACATTTTTAATGTCTACAGGGGCCTCTTGATGACATGGCTACCCATACATGAAGTCAAGCTGTTGTACAATCTGTATGGAGTATATGCAAGACAGTTGAAAATTGCCAAGGCTGGTCGGATGCGAGGTGGAGAGAGCATAAGACCACCAAGGTTCCCATATTTTGAGAAACTTGGAACATTTTTAAAAATGTAAATCTTTATTCATAAATGTATCTTCACATAAAAACACGGGAACTGGATAGCACCAGCTTTAGACCTTATTAAAAAATTAAAGAATTTATTTCTAGTTTTGTTCTTATTTTTAGAAAAAAAAAAAACTTACAGAGGTTTGTTTAGTTTCAGGTTTGTTCTGGAATGTGTTAACAATTCACCTACTTTCTTTTCTTCACAAAGTTGAACTGAAATGACAGAAAGCCAGAAGATCCAGGAACAGACCTGTAGGCTTTGGCCTGTAGGTCTAAGCAGAAAAAGGAGATGTATGATGGAACACATTAACATCACAATAAACTGGGTGCTCTTTATGTGGTTTGTCAAAATATAATCTATTATGTAGCGTTAGTCCTGTATTTCTACCATTATTCAATGCTTTGCGTTGTGGTTACAGCAGTACAAAAATGTGTTTCTTGTTTTTCCTGATTTTCTTCTTTACTGAAGATGTCCTTTAACCATGTATGTACTTAAAGCAGACCTTTTCATCTACTTTCCACAATAATATATACCTTTTTCCTTCTATCCTTTTTTTTTTTTTTACCTTTTTTTTTTGTTTGTGTCTAAACAAAAGTTGTGTACTCCTTACTTCCCACAGCCTCCTGGAATACTTATGTATAACACTGTGCATGCGCTGTAGCCTGTTCACAGGGGGCTGGCTGCAAGAACAAAGAAGAGATAGCGATTATCAATCACTGTGCCGTGGCTCGGTAGGGGGCAGGGGCGGACTGACCATTTGGAAACTCGGGCACTGCCCGAGGGCCTGGGGTCAGTAAGGGGCCCATTGAGATGCCCCTGGTACCTTTTTCATAGGCTATTTTTAAATTGGGCAGGGACACAGGGGCCCCATGATCCCCCAGTGCCCGGGGGCCCCATGAGTTGTCACTCCACCCCTGGTAGGGGCCAAAGACTTCCTCCTGCTGGGTCATGGTCTCTTATTTTTGTTCTGACAGCCAGACTGTTGGAGCAGATGGGAGCCATGGGTCTTGTACTTCTGTTGTTTCCAGGAGTGGGAATGGAGATATAGGGGTTCTTCTGGCCAGCTCTGGCTGCCCTGGGCACCTGACACCCCCCCGTAGACTGATGCATGCTCCAGCCTCCTTAGGCTTCATGTACACGAGCAGCTCCTAAACTCAAGTTTTGGAGATTTGGGCATTTTTTTGCCAAAGCTCCTAAACTCAACTCCATAAAAGCCAATGTGTCCATGTACACATAGGCTTTTAGCAGAGTTTAGGAGCTGCGGCGTCTAGGGGAGATTTCATGTACACGGGACGTTTGGAAAACTCTTCTGAACAATGGAAACTGACTGCTGGAAAACGTAGGGTAAAAAACGTCTGTTTAGCCACGTTTGCATACCGCGTTTATGAGCGTTTGCGTTTAGAAGCATTTTTTGGAGACCTTCCAAAATGCCCAGAATGCACTGAAAAACAGTAAAAAATTAACTATTTCAGACATTTTGAGAGAAATAGAGAGAGCAGAAGCAGAGAGAGCAGTATGTGTTGAGATGACCTGCCTTTTCTGCTTGTATTAACTATGGATCCCATCATGAGCATAATGCGGCACGTTCTACCATTTTTTCCTTCACGCAAAACTTGGAACTGACTGCACTGGTGTACCGGGTCCATTTGAATACATGGAAAACACTTTGCGTGCATTTCTGATGATGAAAAAAGGCTCTGGACAGCATCTGGATATGGAACAGTTAAAAAAACGCTTCTAAACACAAACGCTTATAAATGCGGTTAGCCGTGTTTACAAGCATTTGGCGTTTGAAACACTGATAAAATCTACTCCTGAATGCAAGTTTGGTACGTTCAAAAAAACAACTGTAAACTCAACTGCCTGTAAACGACATAGTGTACACAGACACATAGGAAAACATTAGGGAGAGTTCAGGGGCTGCTGAAAAAAACGCAGAAAAGCTCCTGAACGTCAGTTTATCAGCTGCAGTGTACATGAACCCTAAATCTCCCTCTCCTGAACGTGGAAGAATCACGTTCAGGATAAGAACTTTTTCTGTGGGAAAACACAAAACGTGGCAAAAACGCAGTTCTGCGGTTGCTGCATTTTGCTGTAATTTGCGTTTTCCCGTGGCCAGCGGACAGGGTGGGCTTGTGTACATGAAGTCTTACTAGTACAGAGAAGTAGCCAGAGCTGGCTGAAAGGAGCCTTGTGGCTTTGCGCTTGTTCTAGGGCCAGCAGGAGTGCAGGATAGTTCGGATCTCTAAGGGCTCGTTCACACTTGACTGTTTTTCAAACTCTTGAAAAACGCCCCTATAGCGTTTGACAAGCGTTTGGTCCGGCGTTTGCGGACCATTTTCAGCGCTCCGCAAATGCCACATGCGCGGTTTAGCGGTGGTTGCTAGGCATTTGCCAAGCGTTAAAGATGGGCCACAAACGCCTATAATGAAGTTTGAACGGTGTTACCACTCCGCAAATGCCTCGCAACCGCACCGCAAACGCTGGCCGGGCGTCTGTGGAGCGGCACCATAGACTTGAATAGGAGGCTTCAACTCCTCCTGACTCAACCAGAGGTGTCCGTTTTGCTGCAACGCGAAGCTAGCGCACCCGTTTGAACAGCACTATGTGCTGCAATGTGCAGAATTTTCCCAGGCGTTTGGGAAACGGTAAAAAAAACGCTTCCCAAACGCCTGTCTGCCGCTTGCTAACAAGGCTAGTGTGAACGTAGCCTATGTCATGTAAAATTTTGGTGTATATGCTACCGATGTCTATCTGTGCAATCCCAATTCCATAGAATGCATGAAGGTAAAAAAAACTCAAGCCTTTATAACCACCTAAATTCATTCATGTGAAGTTAGAAGTTGATTAGCTACCATGCACAGCTGCGCCAGATTCTGTGTTAGTAAATAACCCCTATGTCTGTACTTGATGACCCAGTTGGCTTGTATTCATCAGCTCACCACAAAGACGGGACCCCCAGGAACGCAAGATCCATGGGTCAAATTAAAAATCCTTTGGAGTTCAAAGTCTATTGTTCAACTGGGTACAGCAAGCAGGTTCTAATGTGAACACCAGCACTGGCTGATAACATCCCTAGCCTGCACATTAGTCTGCTTGGGAGTACCTTTGAGTCTATTTAACATTCTGCCAGTTCACCCAACCCTGACGAAGGGGGATGGTGTGACCCCAGAAATGTGTTGGCTGTTGTTTGCCCAGATGAACAATAAAGACTTTGGACTCCTAAAGATTTTCCCCTTTGGTGCCCTCTTGGACCTATTAAAATGCTCAACCAGGCAGGTGATACTCCTGTTCTCTGGTTCAGCTTTACAGCTTTGTGAGACACCTCCCTTCTCAGCTGCAAGGCTGAACCAGGAAATAGGAATGTCTGGCTGGCAATGAAGCCGGAGCGTATGAATCACAAGACTGACTGAACAGAATGATATATGTATTTCAACCAGGGGCGCGCTGACCATTTGGAAATTCGGGCACTGCCCGAGGGCCCAGAGTCAGTAGGGGGCCCCATGAGATGCCCCTGGTACCTTTTTCATAGGCTTTTTTGAGTTTTGGGCAAGGACACAGGGGCCCCATGATCCCCTATTGCCCGGGGGCCCCATGAGTTGTCAGTCCGCCCCTGATTTCAACTGAGTATTTAACTGTTTGCTTGTAGGCCCAATATGGATGACCACGAAATGTGAACATCTAATGTTTTGTGATGGGTAAAATCAGAAAAATATGTTTTGTTTCTGATTAGTTCGTTAAGTTAATAAGTTACTTTAGTCATATTCATTATGTTAGAATGATTCATTTTCTGAATTTGTTTCATATATTCAGATTCGTTTTGTATATTCGTTATTTGCAAATCAATTAGAAAAATGAATTTTGGAAGACGGCTATATTCATTCTATTGTCTTCTACACTAATCTATTCTATTTTATTTGATTCTATTCTATTCTTTCATATTCTATTGTATTGTACGCTAATATTTTATTTTCTATTCTGTTCTGTTTTATTCTTTTATTTTCTATTGTATTCTTTTGTTTTCTGAACTATTCTGTTTTATTCTATTCTAGTCTTTTATATTATATTCCGGGGGTCAGCAACCTGTAGCTCACGATCTACCAGTAGATTGTGGCCAGGTGACTAATGGATTGTGGTCTGGGCTAGTTAACCCACCATCCCAGAACATCAAACAGAATGCAATACAGAGGCACTTCTTGTAACGTTGGAACTGTAGTAGGGAGCAAGAGCCGCATAAAGCGATGTCTCCTCTGTAGTGCCGACTCCTGTCTCATGTGGGGTGATACCAACTGCACTCCACCTCTTATCCCTGCTTGCAGTTTCCAGAGTGGTGCATGGAGTTTATATGTTGTCCCTGTTCCTGCATGGGTTTCCACCGGGTACTGTGGTTTCCTCCCACACTCCAAAGACATGCTGGTAGGTTAATTGGCTCATATCCTATGTAAATTGGCCCTAGTATGTCTACAGTATGTATAAATGTGAGTTAGGGACCTTAGATTGGGCAGGGAATTATGTGAATGTACAATATAAATGTGAAGCACTGCGTAAATTGACAGTGCTACCCATATGGAAGAAAAATATATTTGAAATTTATTATTATTCTTATTATACAGTATTTATAAAGCGCCAATAGCTCGCATAGCGCTGTACATTACAAAGGGGGACAGAACATGTGACAGAACAATACAAACACACATGCAAAACATGAGGGGATCGAGGGCCCTGCTCTTTCGAGCTTACAATCTAGGAGGAAATATATAAATATATATAGAAATATATTTTAAAAATATTCTTACCAAATATATTGACATATATTTGAAATGCTACAATTTTGGCCATATTCAATATATATATATTTTATTTAATTCAGGTACTTATATAGCACTGTCCATTTACACAGCGCTTTTACATGTATATTGTACATTCACATCAGTCCCTAACCCTCAAGGGGCGTACAATCTAAGGTCCCTAACTCACATTCATACATACACATACTAGGGACAATTTAGACACGATCCAATTAACCTACCAGCATGTCTTTGGAGTGTGGGAGGAAACCAGAGCACCCGGAGGAAACCCATGCAGGCACAGGGAGAACATGCAAACTCCAGGCAGGTGGTGCTGTGGTTGGGAATTGAACCTACGACACTAGTACTGCTAGGCGGAAGTACTAACCATTTAGCCATATATATACCATATGTTGAAATGCGTTTTTATCACAAAATATATGAAAAATATTTTTTAAAATTACATTTCAAATATACTGAATGTGTTTAAAAATACAAATCTACATTTTTGGAATGCATTTACAATATACGTAAAAATATATGTTAAAATGACTTTTTTATATGTTGAAAAAAAATCTGAAGAGTATATTTAAAAAATATATATTTAAAAAAAATAAATAAATAAATAAATTTATATATATATATATATAAAATATATTCTTCAGATTTATTAACATATAAAAAAGTCATTTTAACATATATTTGTATTTGTAAATGCATTCCAAAAATGTAGATTTGTATTTTTAACGACATTTCGTATATATGAAATGTACTTTAAAAAAATTTTTTGCATGTATTTTGTAATAAAAACACATTTCAACATACAGTATATATATATATTATTGAAGTATATTTTAAATTAAATTGAATACGGCCAAAATTGTAGCATTTCAAATATATGTCAATATATATATGTCAATAAATTTTGGAAGAATATTTTTAGAAAATATTTCAAATATATTTTTCTTCCATGTGGGTATATACCGTAAGTACCTGTAATAAATAAATAAATAAACAAATGGATGATAGAAGACCTCTGCTGACCTACAAAAAAATGATAAAAAACATGTAGATTCTGTCTGTTATGGGGTGTAGGCTATCTAACACACACACACACTACAGAATAAAATGCTGTTTACTGCAAACTGTTCTGCCACAGAGAGATAAGGAGGTGAGCAGGACGTGTATAGACGAAGGTGAGCTGGATCATGAGATTCGCTCTGTATTTGTCCAATATGTGATCAGCGTTTGCCTGCCAATAAGACCGTGCATATAGCATTCAGTGCTGGCTGCAGTATGTGTGTGTAATACAGACTAGGCGGATAGCCATGGGACATGTATGTAAAGAGTTACCTGCTAGGTACTACAGCCATTTTCCCAGTATAAACCACTAAAGTGTTTTATATCCCTACAGGGAGCAAAATCCAATTTACAGAGAACACAGCCCTGATCTTAAAGAAAAATTCCAGCGTTGTTACAAATTGTTATAGCTCACACGACATGTTTGCCTTATCAGTTGTATTGTAATTTAGTGTTCATCAAATTCTCAAATTGATTTTAATCAGTTTCATGTCAGTCAAATGTTTTCAAACTACCAAAAACTTCACTTTTCTCTTCTCGATGTTACCTTAACCATTCTCGATGTTGTATTTGTATTATATTGGGTTTTCCAAGAGTCCTCATCCCCCTGCTCTTGCAAATGGTTAACATCCTTGGCCCCCCCACCCCGGGGATGGAACAAAGCTTGAGGTCAAATAGCAGGCAGTCTGCTGTATGACTATCCAAGAGAAATTAACAAAAAATGTGCAGTTGGTAATCTTCAAGTACAACTAAAAGTAAAAAAAAAAAATTCTTATCATATAAGGGAGGGTTATATACCTTGTCCGTTTTTTTTTTCTTACTGTGTCTCATTGGGGAGATTTACCATCGCTTTCTGTCCCATAGTCAAAA